TATGTTAACACGCTTTGTCATATTTTTGATAACAGTTTGTCGACATCATCATATGGTACAGATACTGTATAAAATTTGTTGCCATTCTGCCATCAAATAACGATAGCATACTCTGCTAGAAATCTGTCTCAGCAGGTTTTGCTATCTGGGAAGTGTTATTAGACGCAAAGTATACTTATATATTTGATTGATTTTTGTCAAAAGATTAAAAATAATTAAAAATTATTATAATAATGTCTCAAAATATCAATTACGAATAGCACATTTATACTTGATAAAGTCAAACTTGTCCAGTAATTGCTAAAGTTTATTAGTAATTACTGTTAATTTACTTATTATAAATTTAATTTATTATTTTATCTATTATTATTTTTTTTTAGGATTATTAGTAAATTAGTTTAGTAGCAATATTAATTAGTTTTATTGCTATATGTATAAGATAGGTCTTTCTTGAATTAATAATTAATAATAAAAGATTTGAAAAATTTGAAATGTTATAACCATAGTTTATATTATGTGATTGTAATTATTGTTCGGTATATGTCTGTGTGTGTGTATATATGTATACATACATGTTCACACATATTTATTACAAAATGTTTCAGAATTTTTTTTGAAAATCAATTAATACTTTGAATTAATTGTACTCTTCCAAATTAATAATGTGTGGGAGCAATATATGATCTGTATTGTAAATACAATGTAATAAATTAATATAAATAATATATAATAATTGTATAATATATTTCTAAATTATTTTAGAAAGCATTCTTATTGGTGCTTTGTAATGGATGAAACCGAAATACAAACAACAATCTTATTTTTTGCAAAAGCACGTGAATTAACTGGATGTAAGGAATGTAAGCTTGATATACCAAGAAAATTGTCTTCTATTGATCTTTTTGATAAGATCGTCCACACTTTTGAATTAGAAAGTATACGTAATCAAATAATACTAGCTGTGAATGATGAATTTGTTGTTCCAAGTAGCATTCTTCTTGAATTATCAGTGAAGGATAAAATTGCAATCATTCCACCACTTAGTGGAGGTTTGTTCAATAATAAATTAATTAAATTAATATCACGGTGTCTATATGTATGTCAATTGCTGTTACGTATTTATATTACTGTATCTGCAATATTGCTTAAATATTAAATAGGCGCGCGTTTTTTATCTATAAATAAAACTCAGTTATACAAAAATATTTTTTTGCGCATTCAATATAAATTAATGACATAAAATACAAATATATTAAATAATAAATAAAATTAATATTGTGCTGTATTATTTATTCTTCAGGATAATATGGAGATATCAAAGAATTTTGTCAAGTTGCAGCAAGAGGAATTAAATGTTGCAGAAATCATAGAGCTGGTGACTTTTCCTAATTGTGGAGCAATATCTAACTTTATTGGACTTACTCGAGATAATTTTGAAAATAAAAAGGTTAAGTATATTACAGAAATTAATTTGAAATTCTAAATAATTATCTGACATAAATTTTAACATGTGTTTAACATAAATGTAAATGCTGGATCTGTTTAGAGTAAATATGTAAATAGACCCAATCCGGTTTCGTGCGTACTCTTCAGCGCCGAGACACGATTGTGTCTTTTTATTTATTCCATCCTTAATTTTTTTTACATTGATCTGATAAAAATTGTACTCAACGATGATTGAAAATAGACTTTATAGTTTTGTTGAGAAGAAAGCAAGGAAATTGTTAAACAGTATTTTATTTTGAAAATTTTCATGAGATAATTATTGACTTGCTCTTTATTTATTTGCACACATATTTACTCTAATTATTAAAAATGATTATTTTGATTTTTAATCTTATTTGCGATTTATTGCTATCAAAAAATGATCATGAAATATATTTTAAATTTGAGAAAAAAAAAGAATATGATAAGAGTAAGTGTAACATATAAAGAAAAAATAAATTTGTCTTTTTAATTACAAAGTGTATAAATAATAGTTATATCGTTGTTTTGCGCAATCGTGATTTATATTAAGCAAAAGAAAGATACACAAAAAATAAAGTTGCACTATATTGCTTTGATACAAAAGAGATATAATGATCTCTTAAATCCTTTTCTTAAGATGTCAAGAAATAGTAAAAGAAAAGTTATTATTTTTTAAAAATAGTTCCAGACAAATGTGGATAATGCTCTTACTATTTTTGCAAATTTAAGATCAATTATTGAAATTTTTTTAGGTAATTAAGCTGGAATATGAAGCCTATGAATCGATGGCTTTAAAAGAGATGACTGATATTTGTAACAAAATTCGTTTACAATGGGATGTAGAAGGCATCGCTATATATCATCGTATTGGAGAAGTACCGATATCCAAAGCAAGTGTTGTAATAGCAGTTTCCTCTCCTCATAGAGAGGAATCACTAAGGGCAATAGAATATGCTATTAATACATTGAAAGCTACGGTGCCTATTTGGAAAAAAGAAATATACGAAACAGGAGAACCACAATGGAAGCAAAATAAAGAGTGTAATTGGAATAGTAAATAACTTTAATTATCAATACTGTACTTTTTCTAATGCATGTTTTCCCAAATATATGCAATGGCTATATTTTTTTTATAACATTTGTATTTCATTTGAAGAGGATAGTAGATGTAAACGAAACGTTCCGATTTATAATATTATTGTAATATAGTCTTGTGTTGTTGCATGACACCTTTTGTTTACCTGCATTTGTTGACTTATTTACTTTTAAATGTTCCTACAAAAATTTATCTATATTTTTATTTTATGTATCAATCTTCTCTGCTTGGATACGGATTAGAAAAATCATAGGTTTTCGACACTTATTAAATACTTATTTGTCTTATAAATCTTGCAGTATTTTTTTTATACTTTGGTGTCTTATTTTTTAATAATAGATTCTATCAATTTGAAATGCTGTATTTTTAACCTATACACACATACATATTTTTTAATTATCTATATATATACATATATAATTTATTAAGTAAATATTTACGTAATTTATAATTACTTGAGAAATATATAGTTAAAATAGTATAGTTTTTTAACATTTATATGCATACAAAGATGAGACATTCATCTTAAGACATTCAAATATCTCGAAAAATACGTAAGATACGAAAAAAATGTTGCAAATAAAAGTTATAGGATATGAAGAGGGACAAATAATGATAAAATCAAATTATTACACAAAATTTTCGATTTTTCATGTCCTATAACTTTTGTCTAAAACATTTTTTCGTATCTTACGTATTTTTCAAGATATTTGAATGGTTTGAAATAAATGCTTCACCCTGTATATCAAAAGCATTTCAAATGTATACAGTGTGTGTGTGCACTCATATGCCTACTTATAATGTTTTACAAAACGATTGGTGGCATCTTGATATCTTTGTTAAATAAATATAAATGCGCATGAAAATATAATAACTTTTCTTTATTGTATTTATGTATATGAGTACTTACAAAATATACATAATATAGCACTAGGACTAACATAAAAAAATTAGATATAACATATTTCTATTCAGTTAATTAGTATAATTAACATATAAATTAGCTATAACAGATTAGAAATGGAAAATATTATTAATCGACAGCTTTGAAAAGGGAAGATGTTCAGACTGCTGCAGATATAAATGAAAAACCAAATAAACATGTTATTGATCAAAACCTTATACAAATTCGAGCGAATTCGGAAGAACTGAATCGTAGAATAGAATCGTTCATCGAAAGAAAACGTCAACAAGTAAATACTATGAATATACAAGAATTTTGTTGCCACAGGTCAGTTATTATTTATTTTTTTTATTATTAACACTGAAATAGAAGAATTTGCATGGGTAATCACATTAAATAATTAATTTTTATTATATAATTATAATATGCACACCTAATTGATATAATTACAAACTAATTATTGTAATTAATTAATTAATTACTATAAATAATATGTTCACAGTGAAAAAAATTATAATGACGAAAATTCTTGTGCAAGAGTAGATGCCGTTCTTATTCGACGCAAAGATTCCAAAAGTCATGTAAAAGGTAATAATTTGAAATAATATGCAATTTAATCTTTTGTTACATGATTTTTTTCTTCTTTTGTTTACTCTATATGTTTTAGTCTGTCATTATTTCATTTATCTTCATTAATTTCTATATGAGTATATATTGATTTGTTAAAGATTTTATATATTTTACAATCTGAATTATAGAACTAATATATTTTGTTTCGTAAATATGCGTTTTCATCGAAAAAAACTTTACGTAGCCTTATGTAATCTCGCAAGAATCTATATAAAATTTCTTGTTTAATTGAGTTTTTATATCTCCAATATATACTAACTTTTATATCTTTATTATAATTTTGTCGAATATATATTGCACTAATATAAGTGCAATTTTGTTTATTTTTTCTTTTTTTTATTAAATAAATATGCAAGAATGCTAAAATGATTAATTCTAATATATGTATATCTGTAATTATTTTTAGTTCACAGAGTATTAAACATGTGTGGACCTCAAACTATTGATCAATCAATTTTACGCAAGTCAGTTACGAATAATACAAGCTTTAATGTCTCGGACGGTTTTCCTATATTGGATGACAGAATTTCCGCATCAGAACATATGATAGGAATTAATAAACCAGTGCCTAAAGATATTTACGAAAGATTGAAAAATATTGAAGACAGAATATTATATTTGGAAAGTATATCACCGGAATATAAGGAATTTTGGGTATAGCAATTTTATTGTCTATTTTATTTATTCTTTTATACTTTGATGCCTATTATTTAAATACAATCGATAAAAATTAGATAGTTACAAAGGAGAAAAAAAGAATTTTATTTTTATTAATATCATGAATGTGCTTAAAAGATAATTATACATATTAAATATATTTAACTATACTTATTAAATTAATTAAACTTTAATTTTTTAACAATTTTACATTTTTTACATTATAGATAACAGAGGACATGAATAATTCAAAGGATATTTCAAAATCTATCCGGAAAAAAGTAAGCGTTACTATTTAGTTTATTTATTATTTATATGTGTGTGGATTATATAATTATGTGTCAAGTTACCTGTTTTATTTTGTGTTAGTTATAAAATTTATTTTTTGTCAACTGCATCTCTTGTACTTATTTAAATTTAATACTTAATTATTTCTCATTTTGAGTGCATAAAATACAACATAGTATAATTACAAAAAAAAACAGATGTTATATACTTTGTATGAGAGATATCATAGAATAATATTAAAAAACATATTTTAGACATATTCTACAGCAGAACTTGATTTGAAGTTATACGAGCTGGAAGACAAATATACTAAGAAGATAAAATAGCGATTATTGTACATAACATAATCTTGTTATTATAACTGTTTTATATAATTTTAACAATAGATAAATATTTTGAATTTTTTGAATTACAGATTTATAATAATAAATTAGAATTTTCTGCATAACGTAATTGATGTATAAATATGTATAATTCTTTGTATATAAATAAAATATTTTCCCATTAGATCCGAAAAAAATTTTTTTATACTTAATATTTATAATATATAATATTATATAGGGTGGTCAATTTTAATCAATCTAGTCGAATTTCTCCGTAATTATTGATGATACAATTAACAAAATGTTTCACATAAGGTTTTGAAGATGACACATTTTTTTCTAGTAGAAATTAATTAATAATTTACAAGATATTTCATATTTTATGTAATTATGTCGAAATGACAAAGTATGACAAAATATAAAATATCTTGTAAAGTGTTGATTTTTTGATAATTTTACTTTATATTTTTATATAGTAAAATAATTATAGCGTTTTCGTACGTAGCGGGTTTGATTGTTCGAGAGCGATTAATGACGTCACATGCTCTATTTTAGATTTCTGATTGGACGAGGAGAGCATGTGACGTTATTATAGTTTAGTGGATGGAGTAGTAAACATGAATCCATCACTACACATTACTACATCAATATCACACGCATACATACTCACAAATCGAAGTAAAACAGCGACATTTTGGAATTTGATCTCGAATTTAAGATTTAATATTTAAGAAAATTAACCAATTATAGTTGATTATTCATTTTACGTGAGAAAAATAATTGATTGTGATTGGTTAATTTTCTTAAATCTTAAGTCTTGTAGACGTCACTTTAGTCCCGAAATACAATAGATGTAGTAAGCCTTAAGCCGTAAGAAATGGACCAATTGCAGTTGAATTTGAAGAGAATTATAGATTATGATTGGTCAATTTCTTACGGCTTAAGGCTTACTACATCTATTGTGTTTTGGGACTTATTTGGGAATGAGTCCCGAACAACGACATATATAATAGACCGAGCATTCCTATGCTTTTGATGTGGAGGAGGTGAAGCCGAAAGTTGGCAGAATACGACTGAGAGAGATAGTGCGATTTGAGGGGAATGCTCTCTCTTTTATCTTACTGTAAGATGACGCTGGTGTCAATTGACAGCTGTTGACATCGGCCATCTTACCAATCTTACTATAAGATAAAATGAGACAGCATTCCCCGCAAATGCTATCTCTCTCAGTCGTATTCTGCCAACTTTCGGCTTCATGCTGTGGACAGAATGCTCGGTCTATATATATATGTCGTTGGTCCCGAAACACAATAGATGTCGTAAGCCTTAGGCCGAGAGCACATGAAATGCATAATGCGGCATAAGTATAGCATAAAGCGGCTAGACCAATGAGAATCTTATATAAATCAATATGGCGACTTTATGCTGGCTGCTCATTGATCCAGTGATCTTATGTTTATGTTTTGTTATGCATTTCATGTGCTTCCAGCCTTAAGCCGTAAAGAATGGACCAATTACAGTTAAATGAAAAAAGAAAAGATAAGAAAAAGAAAAACAAAAAAGCAGAAACCAATCAGACCTCGCGCTGGTAATCGATAGTTTCTACTTTCTTCTTTTCTTGCTATCAGCGCGAGTTCTGATTGGCTTCTGCTTTTCTGTCAAGGTGTGAATTCTCCCGAAGACATGTGAGAAACCCGGTCTGGTCGCGCTTCTCTGATTATCTAGGACCGGTCATAGTGATCAATTCTTATATTAGTGTTTTCGGGCAGAACGGGTTTGATCGCTCCGAGAGCGATTAATAATATCCCATGCTCTCTTCATCCAATCAGAAATCTAAAATAGAGCAAGTGACGTCATTAATCACTCGATCTTGGAGCGATCAAATCCACTCCGTCCGAAAACGCTATTATTTTAAGACTGTTTTAAGTAATGTTTTAAAATGCTAATATGGCTCTGTGATTGGCTTATGACATCTTAAAACTGTACTTAAGACGGTCTTAAATGCAAGAATCGACTATTAGCATTTTTGGATGGAGCAAGTTTGATTGTTCCGAGAACGATTAATGACGTCACTTGCTCTATTTTAGATTCTGATTGGACAAGGAAAGCATGTGACGTTATTAATCGCTCTCGGAGTGTTCAAACCAAAGTAACTCTACTATATCCACAGTATAATCAGTAGGTCCACTTCGTGTCGGTGCCTTTGATCTCCTTTTCCAGATCAC